CCAGTTCCGCTCGTCCTTACTAGGTTAGTCTCCTCCTTTTATCCCTCCCTTGGGGCGTTGCTGTTGAAGGACGACCGTTACTGATACATGTTTTTTTCTACTAGGAGAATCCGCTGTTGGAAAGGTTTGGCCCCGATACCTGAAAACCTGCATCTGATGGGTGGACGAACATGTTAACATTAACTGTGTTGCCTGCTAGAGCTCCCTTGTCCTTAGATTCGTTAAAGTGCGTTTTCCTCTTCCATATGTAGCTGGAAAGTTAGCTTTATGTTTGGTGGGACGAAGTACTGACTATGATTGTTGTTGTTATTGTTGTCGTTGTTGTCTAGGACCAATTTGATGACTATCGGGAATCGACGATCGGTGCCGCGTTTCTTACCCAGACGATATCTCTAGATGAAAATACAACTGTCAAATTCGAGATATGGGACACTGCTGGCCAAGAAAGATACAAGTCTCTTGCGCCAATGTACTATCGGAATGCGAACTGTGCTGTTGTTGTCTACGATATCACCCAAGCAGTATGTCTTCTCCCCGTCCACGCATAACCTTGAACATCTAGACGAAGCTGACTGCCTCTGTTCGTACGTTGCCAGTCCTCCCTCGACAAAGCAAAATCATGGGTAAAGGAACTTCAACGGCAGGCGAACGAGAACATCGTCATCGCCCTTGCCGGTAATAAACTGGATCTTGTGACGGATAGCCCGGACAAGCGTGCCATCCAGACAGCAGATGCTGAAGCCTATGCGCGTGAAGCAGGTCTGCTTTTCTTCGAGACGTCAGCCAAAACCTCGACAAACGTACGAGAGCTATTCACGGCCATAGCGAAGAAACTGCCATTGGACCAGGCGGGTCCCCGAAATCTACGATCTAATCCCCGTCCAGGGGTTGATTTGCGCCCTGAGGCTGCTGGACCACAGGCGAACAGCTGTTCGTGCTAGAGTTGGTGATGGCTTTTAGGTTATCCTTGATTTACGCCCCTGGATTCTTCCACTGGCATTAAGTACGAGAATCCATCCGTTTGTCCCGTCCGCTACCGCTCGAATTGCGTACAGTTCTTCTCTCTCCCACATATGGCCTCTAGTCTGTGTTCGGCATGAGAATGTATCTCTGCAACCCCCCAACGAAACGCGACAAAGAGGTAATGGTTATATGGCAGCATGGACAAGTTTTATCCCAAAGTTGAATGTGCATTTAAATATGTGGTTATCTCCTAGCAGATTTTGGGTATCTTTTGTTTTCCTCCAACATGCCTTTGCGTTGCACATCTCCTTCCAAGCACTGGAACTAACCACGACGGCGTCCTAATTGACTTCTGACGGCTTCGTCTTCGCAATCTCATTAGACCCATGTTCGGTGGATTTGCTCCCTCACTTTTTAATACTTTATTCGTGTTTCCCTTTTGTCCTGTTTGCTTTCCTCTGCTCTGCTCCTGGTGTTATTTTGGCCGTCGTTTACTCTAGTAGTCGTTTACTTAGTATAGTATTCCATCCTTCATATATTCCTAGTTGCATTTATGGATCGCTCATCCCTCTTGCACCCACCCGTCAATCCATCCTTGATCCTGTTTTGTTCTGTTTTCCTCCCCCTTCCTTGCCTTTCTTGACTTTATTTGCTACCAAGATGTTTATTTTTTTACAGCCAAATATGAAAATAGTAATGCGTAGTAATTAGTGATATTCTCACTATTTTATTTTTGCAGTCCGGCTAGTTTATAAAAATACTACTATGGTATTTAAAGCCTCTTGTAATGGAGGAATATATAGTGCAATGCTAACTCTGTCCCTCAGCGGAAACCAGCTATTCATGAACTAGATACCTCTAGAATAATGAAGCCCGAAACACTTGACACACTTTGTCCACTAATTGGTTACCCGGGAGGTGTTGTATTTATCTTTTGACAAGGGAGGTGCATTCTGAGTTCTGGCTTGTTCGCATGTCCTGCTAACTCAAGGCTAGGTCTATCAATGTCATTGTTCATACAGGCTACAGCAGGTGATTGGTCATTCATCGGGAGAGACCGAATGCTTCTGCTGCTGGATGGGATAATCTACGCGAAGACAAGAGAATAATAATCACCAAACCGTGTTTCACATCTAGATATTATTTCTATTCTTGTTTTCGGTTCCTAGCATTGAAGTGTGGCTGGTCAATGTGTGGCTGGTGCCAACCACGCTAAATTTCCAAGCAACTTCAAATCTCAACAACAGCTGAATGAAGGTCTCTGGCAATTTTTGTGCCTCACTAATTCCCCTCTGGCCCCGCCAATCGACCATTTTTTTGATAGTGTCGCACGCTATGCTGCGCACTTCAATTGCGTCGAGCCGTCCGTTGCTCGCTTCCTCAGTCTTCCCCAAGGCGTCTGCACAATGGCTATGTACCTCAAAAGTCAGGCGGGTCAATACGGCGACTAGGGTAAATTCATCCCGAATACCTATTATTGTCTAACTTATTGCTGATAGTACTCACACTCATACCGCAGAGATATCATGCTCTTGCTAGAAAATCAAATGCCGGCCGTCGATGCTCCTTAACCCCGAATAGCGCAACCGCTTCACAGTTCTTTCAGAAAGCTGCAAGCTCAACCAGCACGAAACCTCCAGGTCCAAGTGATGCGGACGTCCGATCACCGGCCTCCCCGTCAAGTCGATCTTCCCTCCGCCCGGAAAGTATTCCCAAACCGCCCCAATCTCCTCCCGTTCAAGGTCAGACTTCTCCAGGCTCAGAGGTGCTGCCGCCAGATCATGAGTCCTCCACACCGCCGCCGCCGCCGCCGCCGCCCCAAGGCCCCAAATCCAGCCGATTACGCAAACTACTCTACCTGTTTCTCACAGCTGGGCTTGCGTATGCTGGGGGTGTCTGGTACTCCCTTCGGTCGGATAACTTCTACGATTTCTTCACCGAATATATCCCATATGGCGAGGAAGCGGTTCTGTATCTTGAAGAACGTGATTTCCGGAATCGGTTCCCTCACGTTACAAAACAGATTAATCGGCGCGTCACAGTTCCAAAAGATGAAGGTGCTCAGGTTACGATACCAAGCGGAAGCGGATTGTCATGGAAGGTTGCAGAAGAGCAACAGGAAGCGACCGATATGACTAAGAAAGGAAGACGCATGGGTACCGCCCATGCGAATGAGCCAACAAAAGATATCAAGGTTGCTGAAAAGGCCAAGGAGGAGGTGAAGAGCAAATCAGCGGCTAAGAAGGAGGACGTGGCTGCAAACATACCAATTCAAGAGGATCTCGAACCTCAACCTGCAAAGGCAGAGGAGAGGAATTTGGATGCTCCAAGGCAACCTGCAGTTCCGGCCGCTACTACTATCGAGCGCTTGGTTCAGGATAAAGTGGATGAGCCCGTCGTACAGGACCTAGTGAAAGTCTTCAATGACGTAATTTCCGTAATCAGCGCTGATGAATCTGCCTCTAAGTTCGCCGGCCCCATTGCCAAGGCGAAGGAGGAGTTGCAGAGGATCGGGGACCGCATCGTTGCTTTGAAGAAAGATGCTCAGGAATCGGCGCAGGAAGAAATCAGAAATGCGCACGCCGCCTTTGACAAGTCTGCCGCAGAGCTCATTCGACGTATTGACGAAGTCCGCACCCAGGACGCTGCTGAGTTTCGCGAAGAGTTTGAATCTGAGCGAGAAAAAATCGCCAGGTCATACCAGGAAAAAGTCAACACAGAGCTTCAGCGGGCTCATGAAGTGGCCGAACAACGCCTTCGCAATGAACTAGTTGAGCAGGCCATTGAGTTAAACCGTAAATTTCTCTCTGATGTCAAGACCCTCGTTGAGAATGAGCGTGAGGGTCGCCTAAGCAAGTTGGCTGAACTGACCGCTAACGTCGCGGAACTGGAACGGCTCACTGCCGGATGGAGCGACGTGGTTGACATCAATCTGAAGACCCAACAGCTTCAGGTTGCAGTTGATGCCGTACGAACGACTCTGGAGAACTCCGATGTGCCTCGCCCGTTCGTTCGCGAATTGGCTGCGGTGAAGGAGCTTGCGTCTAATGATGAAGTTGTTGCGGCTGCCATTGCCTCGATCAGCCCCGCAGCTTACCAACGTGGAATCCCATCCGCGGCTCAGCTGGTTGAAAGATTCCGAAGGGTAGCTAGCGAAGTTCGCAAAGCTAGCCTGTTGCCTGAAAACGCTGGTATCACGAGCCACGCTGCCAGTTTGGTTCTTAGCAAGGTTATGCTCAAGAAACAAGGGTTGCCTACCGGCGATGACGTGGAGAGCATCCTGACTCGAACCGAAAACTTTCTTGAAGAGGGTAATTTCGATGAGGCTGCTCGTGAAATGAATAGTCTGCAGGGCTGGGCGAAATTGCTGAGTAAGGATTGGCTTGCGGATGTCCGACAGGTTCTGGAAGTTAAACAGGCTCTCGAGGTACGTTCATGTTCCCGGTTTTTAAAGGCATTTGTATAATGTCATAGAAATTAGCTTTACTGACGATTATCTGTGTTCACAGATCATCGAGACTGAGGCCCGTCTTCGTTGCTTGCAAGTCGAATAAATCAAAATTAATATTACCCTGGCCGGGACTAATTATCTCCTTCTTGTATTTTCACCAACTACCGCTTGTACACATATCATATTCCACAATTACTTAGACTCAATGTTAGATATGCTATTTCCTTTGTTTGGTAGTTTATTTGACTGTGTTTCCCATATCTTCCTGGCTGGTCCTCTGTCTGCACTATTTGCACCGTTTGCACCGTTTGCACAGTTTGCACCGTATAACGTCAACCAAGCATCACCTGGTCATCTACTCAGTACCTAGTCTCTCATTTACACCCGCTCATATACAGAACGCAAGCGACAATGACACCTCGACAGCTGCACGTTTCTCGCCTCTACAAGCGATGATCTATTTCTTTCGCTACACTGGTCTTTCAGCTTCAGCTTGGCATAGCGGATAGCCACATACTCACACGCTACCGCTCCCATACCATGCTGTATACTCTCCGTCATTATTGCGTACTCCCGACTTAGCAAATGGCCGAAATCACTCTCGAGGCGTTGCCCCGTGCGGTATAAGCCCGATATCTTCAAATGCTTTCGTCCATAGACGAATCAGCCATGCTGCGGCCTGATCCCCAATCCTCCCATTCTCGAACGAAAACCACACCTCCGGACTCTAGTGAATTGGAGGACACCACACTAGAATGTGGATCAAGAGATGGGGAGCAGCGCCGTGGTTCAAGAAGGCTCAGGAACAACAGGACATCCAGTACGTTTTTCCTAGAATCCTCTTTGATCCCAGCGAGGAGGCCGGAACCTGGCTATGATGGGGGCATCATCCTCTCCCGGGCCAGTTCAGCGAGCCAGAGGAAGGGGAAATGGACTAGTAATGAATCCGCCAGCGTTGTTCCTAAACGACATGCGACTGTTAATTATAAATACAAAAAGTCACCCGTCGGTGTCCCGCCGCCGGTAACTCCCATGACGAATGTTTCTCACCGCGAAGAAGCGTCGCGAGATGGTGCACCTAGGATGCCCTCCGATACCTCGTCAAGTACGGCATCCACGCATCCTCCGCAATCTATCGGGCTCGATACGGATCCAGCTCAGATAGTAAACTTAGCATTGAATCTTAGTGATTCGAGGAGGAGATGTGCGTCCGGGAGAGTGGTTTCAAGCATGGCACCAAGATCCAGGGGGGTCTCAAGAAGTGACATATCGGCGGACAGTTACAAATTTCCCCGACAAAACATGATGGATAGTCAACATTATGCTTCACTTGACCAGCGGACATCCAGCAAAATAGCGTCAGCACCAGGCATTGGTCGACACCCTTCAGTGGCTCCACGCCAATCACACTCCCCGTCTCTGGAAAGATATCCAGGGTCGGTCATGACGGATATAAGTTCGACACAATTCGAGCACATGCCATATGACGTATCCAGTGCTACACTTGCCAGAGCTGAGAAGACCCGAAAGCATTTTGAACTTTTCGCAGAATATCTGCGCCTACTTCCACATCTACCTCCTCTCCCAACTAACAATGAACCTTCAGGTTCAACTGCAAATTCATCTGTATCGGCTAGAACGGCAGGATCTCGTGGCCGGGAATACAACCCTCTCCAATACATTCGTAATCGCAAAGTGAGGTTCCGCGAGAAATGCCCCATTGATTCTGAGGCCGATGGATGGGACAATCCCGAGCGGGTACGAAGTTGGGTGGATCTGATTACAGGTTCGGATGAGAACCCGAATCACAGATCTGAGGATTGCGTTCTGCTTCCCAAGTTTGACTCAGATGATAGACCAGGTAACCGGGCGCAATCCGTCACAAGCACGACCAATGCTACCAGAGTTCATAGTGGTGGGGATAGCAGCAAACCCCGTCGGCCGCGGATAGACTGGATAACTTCTCCCGCAGACTTTATAGCGGATGCTGCATGGCTTGAAGAGGGGTCTAATAAACTTAAAATTGAAAACAGAGATGGCAAGCGACTATTCAGCCCGGACACGCGTTTACGGCGTATTCCATTACGAGGTTTAGAATCATCAACCGAACAACCTGCTCCGACGACGGAGAAATCGGAGGGCGACCATATTCAAGTAACGAAAAAGCCTTCAACTCATGAAAGCCTCCCTAGCTTCAAATCTGTTTTCTCTCACGCTCATACAGGCGCGGATCGTGGGCGTGCTCGACACAAGATTAAGAGTCCAGTTCAGCTTTCCCCTCGAAGGTCCCCCTCGATAGAGGCGAGCAAGTCAAGATGGCGAAAAGCTCTCTCACGCACTTCTGATTCGTCTAGCGAATCCGGCGATGACGAACAGGAAAAACATCGGGGGAGAAAACGCTTTCCACGGCTTTCGAGAAGGCCAATTGAGAATGAGAACTTGATCGGCTCCCCAGTCCAGAAAATCCCCGGATCGTCGGATAAGGCCTCTCGAAAACTTACATCCTCTTCTACTATACCTCATAACGTTTCTGACGCACAAATTGGTGACGATGCTCTATCTTCAAGAAATAACGCACAACCCCATATCCTACCATTTTTGGACACCCCTCTGGGACAAGAACGGCATATTCCGCCACCTGGCAACAACGTGGGATCATCGTCATCATCTATGATCGAGAGAAGAAAAGATGACATTCCACGATCATCGATTGGGACTGTTGATGGTAGCCTTGGTTTAGCGTCCAACAGGCAAGAAAATCCCAACATCGCACTAAACCTGTCACCTCCTGAAAGTCGCCCTTCTTCACCGACAAAGCCATTTTCGTCACGTCTAGTTGATTTAGGAAATCGGTTGTCCTACACTAAAACAAACGGTGGATCATCTGGGGTAGTTCCTGTCGATCATGACGCTCCTGAATTACCTCCGCATAAACACGTGTCTGCTCCTGATGTGCCTCTGTTTAACTCTGTCACACAGCTGGCCTTAGATCATCACGAGGACAGAGCTAGAGCAAGTGATATTCATCATCCTAGCAGCCCACCACAAATAAACAAGAACCAAATGCAGCAGGAGTCGAGACTTCGGGGGATTTTCAAACCTGCACGATTGGCTGAGCTTGTGGGGAGTGAGGTTTCCAAAGTTGGCGATTACATCTGGAAAAAGGATATCTCAGGCCACTCAAGGCAGTCATCAACGGCATCGAGCGAGGTATTTTCGGATTATGTCGACGCGGATGACAACTTCCCTGAGGCAAAGCGCAAACAAAAGCTCCACTTGTCTCGTTTTCCGATCCTATCCGAAAGTCCCGGTTTATCACGGATGAATTCCAAAAAGGATTTACCCAAATACCATGCGCCGAACCTTCCTGCCTTTGCCTCTCCTCCCAAGCACGATGACCAAGGCGAATCACAGCCATTATGCGAAGTCGACATCTCAGCGCAATCTGATATTAAGTCACAACCGCTCGAGGACGAATCAGCCAATGTCTCTCACAACGACAACCTGCTCAACCCATTTACTCCCTGCTGTGATATGGGAAATAGTTCCTTTAGAGAGGGCCGCAATAGCTTCGTTGGCTCTGTGGGATCAAATAAAAATAACAATAACCACCTTTCCCTCCAAGTCAGTCGAGATCAGCTTCCAGTCACAGGCCTTACCAATTTAACCGTCACACCCACTGGCCAACTCCGTCCTACAATGTCTGTGGCCACAAGAAACTGGAGCATCTCCCGTAGTATTGATGGCCCGTATCTTATCGATAGACGTGAAATTGCACGAGTAAGAGCTCATTTGCTCTCGTCGGGAATTAAGGCACTGGAAATATGCCGCCAAGCCGACATGATACGGGATTCCCCTCCTGTCCTTGTATTTAGCACCGAGCACGGGTTGGGTGGCAATGTACCTCGCGTCCCGCGGTCTGAGGAAGTGACAACTGCAGCCCGGAGCCTGATGTTCAAGTTCGACCGCGAAGTTTGCCAAGTTCAGCATGCTATGTCGAAATTCTCATCATCAACCTCACCGTCTTTGAAGTCGCGATTGGATGATTTAGACTCACTAGTCACATCGACGCTTAACCCGCGCATCCGCGATCTCACATCCGAAGATGACAAACTAACTAGCGAGCTCGCGACAACGAATACATTGGCATTGAAGCAGCTCAACGACTCGCTCGATAAGGGCTTGAGGAAACGAAAACGCAGGTTTCGATGGATAAGCCGTGTCGGGTTTGTCATGTTAGAATGGGTGCTTGTTGGTGCTATGTGGTGGTTGTGGCTGGTTGTGATGATCTTCAAAATGTTAGAGGCCTGTGGAGGGGTTCCTTTTCGGGCATTAGATGGATTTTATGGCTATAAGTTTTAATATTTCTTTCTTTTCATGTTCTAGGTGTTTGGGCATTCTATATATATATCTTTTTTCTTCTAATTCTTTATATTTCCTAATGGACTTGAGATTTGCTGTTCAGTACCTGTTCACCTCCAAGGGATATATCCTGTTTTGTTACAGCGCTTCCCCATTGACTTTTTTAAGAGCTCTAATAAGTTCTTTCCATGTGCGTCGTCTAACTTCCCCTTTTGTTCGGTGAGTTATCGTTCATAATATACCCCGCGTTCTAAGTTACGCCCCCTTGTTTTACTTATGACCCTTGTGTTTTTTGCAATATAGCGATCCAACTTTTACCAGTGCCCTTCCCTACCATATCACCTGAGCATTCCGCTATATGATATTTTCATTCTTCGCCTTCCATATTCTGAAATCCTGAATTTTGAAGTTTGAATTTTTCTTTCTTTCTTTCTTTCTTTCTTTCTTTCTTTCTTTTGGGGGGGAGGGGGGAAAGTTTAGTTTAGACTCGGGAATATACTCGCTTCTCCTTGCTCCTCCACGAAACTTGCGACTGACTCTCACTGCCTCCATTTCTTTTCTCCATACCCATCACTACTAATTCCATTAGGCTCACAACTCACACCTTTTGAGCCAATCACCCATAATTTGCTGACTGCCGCCCTCCAGCAAGAGCAGTCCACCCAAGAACGGTGGACAGTGACACGCCTCAGCCATCAGGCCAAAATGGCTGGTCTATCGCGAATAACGCGAATAACTCGCCTCCCGATCCTTTGATTAACATTTGCATGTAAGGCTGGAACGACCTTGATGCGGACCATATCACAAAGGGACGGAACGAAATCGAAATCGAAATCTTATGTCCACTACACCCCGGACGCGCCGATTGGTATATACTACTACTAGTAGTAAATTGACAAAAACCCCATTTGACCGGAAGCATGGGTACCAGCCCGCGCTAGAGCTTATCACAATGAGGCTACAGAAGCAGACTAGTAGCAGTGGGTTTCAGTCATACGAACGCGTAGAGGACGCGGGGGGGGAACCGGCTGAACGAATGGCCGTTGATGTTAATTTGAGCGCTGTTCCTTGATTCTAATCTTGTGTTGGGAAATACCGTACGGGTGCTCTTCTTCTGAGACTTTAACTCTTGTGCTTCAATTCGGCTTGTCGGAAGTTCTCTCGACACTATCCGTTCCGCACTTCAAATAGATGCTGTTGGAGCCCCTTTCGGAGTACCCCTGCCATTTCATTGGAATATGGCTTAAAACGAAAATAAGGGATGAAGGGCTGAGCACCGTTTCCCGTTTTGATTGAATGGTGGCATGTCACTGGAAGCTCGAAAAACAAGAAGTCTAGCATAAATATATAACTGGGTATAATTTAACCGTGAAGAGCAAAATTCCACGAGTGCAAAATTGCCTAAGAAGAATTAGTCGCAGGATCCAAACATTCCGGCATTTACAACTGTACAAAGGGAATACGATTTAAAACACCAAAGCTTCTAAAGGAAAATTGCCCGGGTTAGCGATAGGTATAAGACTAATTTGTGGGGAGGTAACAATATCGGACTGGTTGCTATGATATAAAGGATGGCAAATTGGTCCTTAATACGCAATAATTTATGTCTCGTCACACAATTCTTTATTCCAAATTAACTCTTAATCTCATTTACTGCCGTTGTAATTTGATCTCCGGGTTGACGACTGTCGGTGGTGCTTCGTTCAGGTCTGTTGGTATTCCCTTCCATAGCTTGAGTTTCCGTGAGGATGATGCAATTTCGCCCACGGTCTGCTGGAGATTTTCCCCAACAGCTTCGGTTTGATTTGAAGTATCTGCTGTAGCCTGGTGGGGACTACTCTCTCTTTGTCCAGCTGGCGTATCCGTGTTGGATGCTCCGTGGCTCGAAAAGAATCTCCGCATACCAGAAGAACCCGGGTCTGAGTGAAAATGTCTTCTTAGCGGGCCATCAACAAATTTGGTAAAGGCTGTCGAAGATGATTTTTGAATCTTTTCACTTGCTTCTCGGAGAGATTTCCTTGATAATTTCTTCTCAACCCTGGCCTTGAACCTCCAAATATTGTCAACAGGACGAAAATGAGTAAAATCCGGATCCACATTAATCAACTCGGATGGTTTTGATTCCCGTATATGTCCAACCTCCATGTGTGTGAAACCATAGATAGCAATAGCCGACGTATCTCGTGGCATATTTGCATATTTGGCCTGGCGCAGTATTTTTTTGGGAACGACCACGGAGCTGCCCCTGAGGCCCATCGGGTGACTAAAAGACCTTTTAGGGGCCACTACTTGTTGGCCAGTTGCAGGTGAATAACACGGGCCCCCGTTCCTGGGGTGGCGCGCAAGGTAGTCTCCAAAGTTGGCATCAAGAGTGAGAGCGCAAAGCGGGAGAAATTTTACATTTTCCTCTGGACAAATGAAGGTAGACTTCGCCCTATCCCTGTTCCGCTCATGAATTGGGTAGGCAGACCAGGTTTGATTGTCGAGAGTAAGCTTTAAGCACGAAGCCCAGAAATCGCCATACAGTTGAAGAACAATATATGCATCGCCTAACCTCATTGGGAAAACGTCATCATATTCACATCTGCCACGGTGTCGCAAACGCATATTACCCTGGAGCCGGTTTCGATTGCCCAACCGAACTTTCTTTTGGGCGGAAGTGGATATCCGATTGCTCTATTTGATGGTAAAGAACGGATGTCTTTGCAAGAACTTAAATATTTAGCCTCGTGGCATGGTTGTTGGTAGGGTTGGAGTTGTTGATCTAAACCAGTGGCATCAGTTCCTGTATCGACGGCCGGGGTGTTGGCATTTTGGGATTGTTGCACTGCGGTAAATATTGAAGACGATTCGATATTACCACGAGTTTCTCGTTCGTTTTCTGGTTGACCAAATTGCTGGTACCTAACTTCGCCCAGTTGTGCTTCTGGAAAACGCGGGACAGATCCGATTTGCTCGGGATGACCCTGCTCCTGACCTGGTTGGTGCAGTGGCTGTTTGTCATCTCGGGGTTGTTCTCCCGTAGTGGTAGATATCAAACAAGCTGTCACATGTTCGACTGGGCCAGGATCCTCTGCTAGTTCTCCAGGTGGCGTGTTCTCATCCATGGGTTGTTCAATCACTGGAGAGAGAGAAGGAGCTTTTACCACTTGAAAGTGGCCATGTTCTTCTCCCCATGCCTGATCCGCAGCTTCATTCTCGTCCTGGAAGGTTTCATCGATATCAACACTTGTTCTCGAAGGCCCAACGGAATCACAGATAAATCCGCTCCTCGGCTTAGGAAAGGCAAATACCCCGACATGGTGGGATTCTCCCGAGTCTATTGACCGAGCTGAGGAGCTGGTCGGCCAAGATGTAATACGCCTTCTGGGGCTGGGCCGTTGGTGAGCCGGCAGTGGTTCCTCTGGTGCAGAATTAACAGATCCTGTAGTTGTGCTCCACTGGCCACCATCTGACTCATTACCTTCTTGAGCATCCGTCTCTGCTGTGGCGGCAACTATAAACGGCGCTCTTGACCAGGTAGAAGCTATCGCATCTAGCTGCTCCTCGAGCAAAGTGATCGCGAGGAAATTAGGATGGGGATATTCGGATATTCTAAAGTTAGGTTGCATGTCGGCCTGGGGGTAAAGGCTAAGCGACCCGAGACTGGGTTGTTTATTGTCGGTCTTCAGTCCAGCAACGGAATCAACAATATCAGAGTCGGCGTCGGCGTCGACATTGACACTTGAGAAGGCTGAAACATCGTCATCGAGCATTCGAATATTCCAGACTGGTTGACGATGGTGGTATTCTCCATGCCGCCTCCTTCGTGTGAGAGATCCCCCAAGCGTCTCTGATTTTGGTGTATCTCCATCACTGTCGTGGAGTGTCTTGGTTGGGGATGGATCTGGCACGAAAATGCCCGACTCAGGGGGAATACTGAGATCTGGGCATTCTGTCAAAGGCTTCCATCTTGACGTATCCTGTGAGCTATTTACATTAAGTAAAATTTTTCCAGCTTCAGTAATCGGACCGGTGTCGCCATTTTCGACACGAGAGCGGATGCCTTTCCCAGAAGTGGGCGTTTGGGCATTGGATGGGTCCATAGATTAAATCTGCTGGAATAGTTCTGATATTACAAGTGTTAAACCAAAATGCAGTCACTAATGTGTTGAAAGGCAACTAAACGTTGTTGTATAAACCAGAAGATATACAGCTAATGCAGTGGAGATTTCTTTCAACGAAACAAATCAAAACAGACACCCGGCTAAGGAAAACAAAGTGGGAAAGACAAAATAACAATGAGAACATCTCAGTCCCAGAAGAGTGCTAGACGGAAGGAACATTCCTAAGGAAATGGAGGCCGAAGCAGCAACGTTGGAATATTTGCTGTTTGCTCAGGGAAGGAATGACATACTTGATGCGCGCTTCTGCTTCTGTTCGCGCCCATCGATGGATATCCGCCCAACTGCAGAAGCAAACGACGCAGATAACACGTCCAGATACCGGGGAATTCACTCAAGTTCATATTCTCATGGTCGTTGAGAGCCATCGCAATCGTGGCCTTCTGAACACATACACCAATTCGATATTTCCATTTTTTGTTGTACCGAAGTATCCTGCTCAGGCGCGTAGTCTCGGTGAAGCTCAAACCATTCCACCATTTTTAGAGCAAAGGCCCATGTTCAGTTGACTGTTCGAGCCGAACTCCTGGCATGGCCTAACAGTGTCTAGTGCTCTGTAATTTGCTTCCGACGATGCTTTCAGGAGGCATCCGTGAGATCAGACTCCTCATTTCTTCCAGAACACGACCAATATTCCTGAGCGGTTGGAGGAGGCCGGGTGTACTTTGCACAACCAACGCTTAAAGCAAGGAGCTTCGACCCAGCCACGGTTGTCGTGATGTGCTCATTATCAGCTCACGTATCTTGCCTTGTGCCTGACAACAATATATCAGTATCTCTCAAAAGGCTGTGTGGCACTTGGGTAAATATATGAGTCCATCCAGATCAACATGCGCCGCATGACATCCGCTTGGATTTCCCCTCCTCCTCATTCATTAGTGTTGACTAACTAGTGTGTCAGTGTTTATTTTAGTAAAATTAACCGCATTGCAGTGTTACAAGTTCAATATTATTCTTCTTTCACCTGCCCTCTGAACAACAGGGATTTTGTCTTTTTCATGTGGCTGGGGGAAAGGGAGTCTGATCCAGAGATTGATATCAGTAGTATTATCAGTAACCAAGTCCAAATTGTAGCTATTGATGCAAAATGCCATTCCCAAGATGACCAGCCGGATGTGGCTTGATGTTCCTGATAGACTTTTTGAGGCCAGCGCGTAGCCTGGTGTACCACCTTGGGGCGGAACTCCTGATGTTCGCATTAGAGTGCCGCACTGAAGTCCAAATGGATCAAGTTCCTTTGCTCCATGATCACAGACCGGGTTATTATCCCAAACGGCTTTAACTCGCTGTAACTGCAAGCCCTTAGGCTGCCCTCCAATGTATGCCGATGCGATCTGTCTGGCACTTTACATATGCACACATAGGGTCATTATGTCCAATGAATTCCATGATCCCAACGTTGGACATTGACATTTTTGAAAGAAGAAGTAAAACTCTTTGAATTGATCAGGGTGGTTAGAGTTGAGTTTCAATACGCCCCTCATGGAGGAGATGCATCTGTAGAAAAACCCACAAGATCAATCGCAAACCTTGCATCACATCCACATCCGCTTCCATAACTCGACAAGTTGCTGACGGAGGCTTCAAAAGAGGGGGAACTTGCCGCCAAGCTGAGGAGCAGCGGAGAATCGCACACTAATCCACACCTTAGGGTATCCATGTACAGGAAGTTGAACAGAGACGCAAGACTCTTAATTCAGTTCTCCCAACAAACGGAGATTGGCAGCGGAGTTTGGCAAAAAGACGGAGTCAACCGCCGTAATATGGGACCTCGGATACAGAATACGAGCAGTCGGCCGTTCGGAAGTTTCATCTTCCGTTGGATGAATTTGTCTGGCTTCATCTTGGTGCTGTCAATTGAACGAGGGATGGTGTTGTGGTGACTCGTAGTTAGTTAATCCGTCCCGAGGTCGGCATGTGGTTTATAAATGTCCGTTTGCAAAATTGTGGGCGAATGGATAACTTCAAAGCCCTGATATTTGCAGCAAATTCCAAGATCCGCACCACAAACAACCGCTTTACGAAACGCATTTCGCTCACTGACATTTTGCACATGCACATTCAAGTATATCTCCCACAGCATACATGGCAGCTCCCAGGATCAATCTATATCTGGACGTCGTCAGCCCCTTCGCGTACATCGCCTACTATGTGACAAGAGTATGTTATAATTTGCAAGCACTTTGCTTGCTACAATATGTCGTCACGCGGTCCCAATACCTGAACTTCTCATTTTATTATTCCGCAGCGTCCTCCTGCTAAGCATGCGTGCAGTTTGACGTTGGGCT